CCCAAACACCTGGCCCAATGAAAAGTCCGGTTAAAGCCAAGGTCTTGCAACCAGACACAGCACTCAATCGAGAACTTGTTGACCTTCAACAAATGATGCGCTCTAAGAATGCCTATGTGAGCCACTTGCTTCTGTCTGGCAAGTGATCTCACTACAGGTCTGAGAAAAGGTGTGGGCACAAAGGCCAAAGGTTAAAATGGGGTCCTCTACAGCTCAAATACCTCAGGAACCTTTCCTGAAAGCCAGATGAGCACTGATCCTATCTAGGAAAAGAACTAGATATATACTGGATCAGCTGGGCTTCACATAGCTCTTTTATATCCTGTGCTATCTAGAAGCTGGCGCACTCAGCTTTTATCCTCTACCCCTGTGCTACACTTCTTGAGAACCCTTCAGCAAGAATGGAGCAGAGGGGGTCCAGGAGGAAAGGTGCTAGTGATGAACCTCAGAGATGAACAATGAAATAAACAACTGGTGAAGACCAGTAAGGAAACTAGACTGCTTCTAGATAGAGAAGAAATCACCAAGGTTAATTATGTATTAACCAGTGATTGAGGAATCTCAGAAGAAGAAAGCCCAGAATATCCTAGAGAGGTATCCAGACTGTTGAGTTTTATTTTATTGATGCTTCAGAGAGAGGAAAGTGTCCAGGGAGGTCTGGTCCTCCTTTTATACTCTGAGTCTTCACTCTTCCTTCTCTATGAGCATATTTACTCAGTAGAAGGTAAACCTAACTTTGTATGTGTAAATCTCTTGGTAATAATGTGTTATTACTTTCACATTTTATGGCTATGGTTTACAACAGGTTGTATCATGTATAGCTCTTGAAACTGAGCTATGAGTTGTTTACACTTATAATTACAATACCCTTGCAGTCCCGTGGTACTTGCTGAGTACTCAGGGGCTGACAGCCTATGGGTCCATCCACAACTTCCGAAAGAGTCTGCCTGCATGGTCTAGCCAAGATGACTTTTTGGCGGCTTTGAAAGATCCATCAAAGAGAACTATAGTCGTTGCTGGAGAGATGGGCAGTGGAAAGACAACTCAGCTTCCACAGTTCATAATGGAGTCTGAGATCGACTCCAATTGAGGAAGCATGATGAACATAGTCTGTACCCAGCCTAGACAGGTCAGTGCACTTTGTGTCGCAACACGAGTGGCAGGAGAAAGATTAGAAAATATTGATGATAAGGATGGACTGGTGGGCTATACTATCAGAGGCAAAAAAAAGTTGGGGCCACAGACAAGTAAGTTTTTTCAAACTGAAAAAGCATACATTCAGCTCAGCTTGATGTTGTGTCTAAGCTATCATCTGTCAGGACTTCTATTTGCCACCACTGGAGTTCTCTTACACTGACTTGCCACAACTGATCCAAATCTTCAAGGTGTTTCTCATGTCTTCATTGATGAGGTAAATTTTCTATACGCTCCTCATCCAACAATTGTCTGACACGTGTGGTCTTAGGTCCATGAAAGGAATTTGAAAAGCAATCTTTTGCTCATTGAGCTACGTCGGGTCCTTCAACGCAATCATCAAATCAAGGTCATCCTCATGTCTGCTACAGTCAGTACTAAATATTCACTCTTTCTTTTGCAAAATGTATATGTTGATGCACACCTTTCTGCTGCCAGGCCAATCAAGAGCTTTTTACAAATTATTTCAGCCAGGCTACCATGATGAGGATTTCGGGAATAACTTTTTGTTAGCTACCCTTTGATTTTCATTGCACTTAGCCACTTTTTATGTAAATTTTCACGATGCTGAATCTATTCTATTGTAACCTATTCCAACAGCTGTACAAGATCTTTACCTTGAGGATTACTTATATTGCCTGGATTATACAGTGCCATCAAATTTTAACCTATCTTTAGTCACTAAAAAACCTTGTAACGAAGTTGAGTGAGCCATGATGGAGAGTATTTGCTAACATTTTTGTTCCCTGAACTATGGTGAGAAGCAAATACAATTGCTGGAGTCTATGTCTAGAGCTTCGTGTGCCTTTGATGAAATGCTTGTGGCCTCAATTGTAGGACACATTATCAAGGAGATGAATAGTGACCCCATTACTTCGCCTCATTGAGTTGTTTTGATCTTTGTCTCTGGTGTTACTGAAATTAGCTTGACATGCAAAGCGATAGAAAGCCTATTTGGATTGCAAGTCAAATGTCTTCAGTTACATAGTCAACTGTCAAATGCAGAACAAAAAGAAGTATTTGGTACTGTCAAGCCTCCAATAATTAAAGTAGTTGTTGCAACTAACATTGCAGAAACATCCATCACCATTCCTGATGTGAAATATGTGATTGACAAGTAAGTGTGTACAAATCATTACATTTTTATGTTGTTTCCCCTTCTCTAAACTAAAATGGCCAATCCAACAGTGGGCAAGAGAAGCAGATCATGCTGGACGCGGAAATTGGAATTTCAAAGCTGACAGAGATCAACTGTTCACATGCAGCTGCAAAGCAGAGGCATGGACGAGCAGGAAGGACTGGGTGAGTGGCCAAGAATCAATAGATACATCACCAGGCTAATGATTGCCCTTGACAATTCTATACCCCAAAGTCCTGGAGTTGTCTATAAGCTCTACACTAAACTATGTGAACAGGAATCTGTGCATGAGGATACAGAACCTAAAATGCTCTGCACACCGCTTGAAGCCTTGTTCCTACAAGTAAAAGCCATATGAGAGTAGGAGGACATTCCAGTGTGTCTTTCTAGCTCCTGAGAGTCACATCCTCATCACTCACTCATCACTAATGCAACTGATACCTATTTTACACCACTTATGCAACCACCAGACTTCTTCAAAGGAGCTATCTTGCCACCACCCCAGCTAGCCATGGAGCAAGCTCTGCTTGGAAAGAGTTGGTGCCTTTCATGGTGGTCATCTGACTCCATTGGGAAAGCATCTTGCTCACCTTCCACTGGATCTTCATCTTGGGAAACTTCTCATTTTTGGAGCGATTTTTAAGGTATTTGACTTTCATTGACTTTAGCATAAGTCCCAATTTTTATCAGCCATTCTGGAGGCATTTTGATGATTTTTTGATTTCACCAGCGCTATGTTGTCAGTCAATAAAGTGTCTTTCCAAAACTTAATACCTCAAAGTCTACAGCAATTCTTAGCATTTTCAAAGACGGCCACCTAAGATGTACTCCTTCCATTAGCCGCTGTTCAACAGTCTGTTTGATAAGAGGAATGAAGTTAATGAGGCCTGTTTAAGGTTTGCCACAAGCCAGAGTGATTTACTGACAAATATCAGGGCATTTGACGAATACGTGCGAATAAAGAATGAGTGTGGGTATGCCACTGCACAAAAATTTAGCTCCATCAGTTTCTCACAAACTTTTACAAAGGCCAATATTCTTCCTGTTTTATCAAGTTGACTCCGGAGTACTCTCTCATGATACAGGCCAATTTTTTGTCAACCAGTACAATTCGAGATATTATATCAACAAAAACCAATTTACTTGCCCATATGCAGGAAAGAGGTTTTGTCCCAAGGGACTACCAGCACTTGCAAAGTTTTCAAGAAAAAACAAACTCTTCAACTTTTGCCATGAACATGCAAGTGGGGAATCTGAACTTGATCAAGTCTATAATTCTGGCTGGTTTAACACAAGTTGCGCAAATCGAAATCCCAGATACCAAGTATGATCAGGTAGCCAGTGGAACTGTGGCCAAAGACATAGATGCACAATTGGTCACACTGCCAAGATATTTGTATCGGATGGGCCTATCCGATGTTCTATCACCCCGAGATATGCGATGCAGTGTCAGTAGGATTAGGTGCGATGGAATTACACTGCAATATGGTGTCAGAGCATTAGATACCGATAGTAATTCCATCGCACCTAATCCTACTGACACTGCATCGCATATCTTGGGGTGATAGAACATCGGATAGGCCCATCCGATACAAATATCTTGGCAGTGTCAAGTTTTATGACCTGAAACTTGGTAAGTCTACAACCTAGTCTCTAATATGTAAAGATTCCTTTATTGAATTTGTGTGACTTGTTTGCAGGCAAAGTGTTCTTGCATCCATCATCTATTCTGTTCAAATCAGCCAAAGACTTGAAAGCTGACTTCTTGACATATTTTTCCCAGAGCGCAACACAATCAGCTTCGGGCAGCAAGATATACTTGCGAGACGCAACACAGGTGATTTTTTTTTTTTTTTTTTTTTTTTTTTTGATAGTCCACTCCTTTTTGTTTTCACATGATCAGTGAAGGAAAACATGCCGAAGTAAAAATTTAACAAACTGAATGTTCAACACCCTCACCATCTGCTTCTACTTTTCTAGGTACCATTTTTGGAGTCTTGTTACTGTTTGGAACCGGTTCTAGCAAAACACATCCCCAACTGAATGGGCTGCCAATCCGAATCAGAGGCATTTCTGATTTACAAGGGGACGAGCAACCAGGGGATACATTCAGACTGCGAGCATCATTACAAATTGGCACTCTTTGCAATCAACTACGCCATCTCATTGATGCGGTCTTGCAAATGGGAATGGACAAGCCTGGGCGATTGGGTTTGGAAATGGATGGGCAAGAGGTGAAGATCATTGAGTGTGTGGTGAAACTGATAGAGACTGATGGGGTAACTGCTTCTGTATGAAATTATAATTATAGAGGAGTGCTTCATTGTGCAAGGGTAAAATTGTCATGAGCAACTGATTCTCAATTTCTCCATTCCATGAGATATTGGGATGCCCTGATATATTCTTGTTGAAATGTTCATCTTGACTATTTCATCAGCTCTATTGCATGATTGTGGCATCCATCAAGTTTGGCTGAACATTTGAATGTATGTAACAAGGTCAATCTCTCCTTAGAAATGCTCTTTCGTGAGCGAGCTCGTTTTGATGTAGGAGAGAGAGACATTGTTAGGTTCACTGAACATTGACAAAGGTCTTCTTGCCAGGTTTAGCACACATCCCATATGAGATGTATATGACTGGCTTTGTTGTACAGTTCCCGAAGTTTATGGTCTCAATAGCTCAGTTGGGAGAGCGTCAGACTGAAGAAAGGCAGTCTTGAAATCTGAAGGTCCAGTGTTCAAGCCACTGTTGGGACAATTTTTAATGGGTCTATATAGCACCTCACACCGGGGGAATTGTACCGTCGCATTTGGAGTTACGTCACCTGGTCGTTATGCGGTGTCTGTCGAATACAGTGTGTACGACATCTGTGATACTGTACAGCTACACTGCCATTCTCACAGCGACAGCTCCAAATCGTGGGCGACACCTCGTAACCGTTGGCGACACCTCCGTATACTGCTGTTTTGAAAATAAATGTCCCTCCTCTGGACGTTTTTTTTTTGTCAGTCCCGCGGGTTATTATCCAAACCCAATTTGGACCTACGTGGAAGCATCAAATCAACAGTAGCCATCCCATCCTCC